CATTCCCCACCCATGGCAGAGAGGGCCACTCCTGCCCGGCTGCAGCGGCTCCACCCTCTGTACCCCCGTTTAACTGGGGTTATATATCCCTATTCTGCAGTGCAGAATCTAGGCATGCAGCAATGTTCCCTCTAATTCTTTTTTTTTCTATTCACGTGCAGAATACATTTTGTTCTGTGCACCAAGGCACGTGCAGATGTGCACCACCCACAAAACATCCTGCCGGCAGTGAGAGCTCTGTTCATCAGCTGGGTGGCATTGGAATCTCAGCTGGGCGGCTGCCCAAACACTCAGCTTACCTGGAACACTGGGGTGCAGCTGCATCCCCTGGCGTGAAGGGGTTTCAATATCTACAGGGGTTACAGTTTGGTTCGCCGGCTCTCTGCACCCACACATCACCAACCGTTCCAGCCCCCCGGCTCAGTCCCTGCCGGCTGGGACTGGGAGGAGGCACAGAGAGGTTAACACACTAGAAAACGCCCTGCGAGAGCAAGGGCCAATGCTCCGTAACTACCTGGAGTTTTTCGGGAGCAAGTGGGCTGCACTCATCCATCTGTGCAGAGCTACTGGGGCAGAGACTGAACTCAGGTGTTCCAGAGGAGGCCAATTATGGTGTGTATTATGGTCGTGCCCACTCAGGGATCGGGGCTGCTCTGCGCTAGGCGCTGTACACACACAGTGCCTGCCTCAGAGAGCCTGCAGCTCCAAATCCACTTGGAGTTTTTCGGGAGCAAGTGGGCTGCACTCATCCATCTGTGCAGAGCTACTGGGGCAGAGACTGAACTCAGGTGTTCCAGAGGAGGCCAATTATGGTGTGTATTATGGTCGTGCCCACTCAGGGATCGGGGCTGCTCTGCGCTAGGCGCTGTACACACACAGTGCCTGCCTCAGAGAGCCTGCAGCTCCAAATCCACTGGAAAAAAACATTTCCCAGCCCTGATGCTCCCCAGGGGACTCTGGGCCAGCCGCTTAATCCCCCCGTCTATGACATGGATGCCACAGTCTTCCCTTCTCCCACACTTTGGCTGGCTTGTCTCTTCAGCTTACAAGCCGCACCCACCCCTCGCCCCTGGCTCAGGGACTATCTCAGCACGGATGGGTCTGGCACACAGCCCATCTCGGCGGGGGCCTTGACTACAAAGCAAAATCAAAGCGCAAACACTAAACGCAGCCCAGAGCTGCCCAGAACCCAGCCAGGCCCAGGACTCACCTGCTCAAAGGGCCACACGGAGTCTATTTTGGGCTTGATTTTGCCCTGGCTGTACAGGCTCAGCAACTTGGCCACGACGCCCCCGACGAGCTCCAGCTCCTCGTCCAGGTAGCCCAGGTGGTAGCCGCACACGGCCTTGTTGAGGTGCAGGAGCTGCAGGGCATTGATGCTGAACTGGTTCCACCACGTCTTCGCCATGGCCATCAGGTTCTTCTTCTGCCCGGTGAGCAGGTTTGCCACCCCTAGGAGGAAGCCACGGCCAGGGCCACGCTCAGAGCCTCACACAAGGCTCCTGCCTGGCGAAAAGCACCCAGGGCACCGAGCACCCTCTCCACCAGCACACGCCAAAGGAGACAGAAGGTGGCTAAGGGGGTCAGGTCAAGCCAGGGTCTGCCGAAGAAAGGCCGAGGCAAACGGGCTTCCGCTGATGGAACAGAGACCTGCTTTGGCAGGTAGACACCATGGGCTAGAGGAAGTGTGACGGGTCTGATCACAGAGGTCCCCTTGGGGCTGCCCCCCGATGTGCTGATCATGCTACCGAGCCTGCCCACCCACCCTCTGGCACGCCCCAGAGTGGAGCTGGGTCAGTGTCTGTGTTGCTCTGCGGGGGAGCGGTTACCCTAACTCTGCACCTTGTTTGGGGGAGAGACCAAAGCATCTGGCCATGCAGGACAGGGTGATGGGGCGCCCCAGAGGACAGACAGGCGTGATTAGCACAACAGGGGGACAGCCCCCAGGGAGCCTCTTGTGATCCAACCCATGACCATAAGGATTCGACATCTGACAGTTTATCACCTGCGGAGAGGCAGCGGCTCAACAAAGCCAGATTTCGGTGCCAAGCCAGGGAGTCTAGCGCATGGGAAATGACTGGATTTTAGCATCAGGAGCCAGTGGCGTTGGCCAAATGAACCCTGAGCTAACATTTTGGAACCTGGGCCGCAGGAAGGGTTAACCCTGCCAAAACACCCTGCAGACTGGAGTCGGGAGCCAATGCCAGGGGATGGAATGCAAGCCAACGTGAGATTCCTGCATGTCCCGCCGGGGCTGTATGAGGGCTTTGTCTGGGGGGACAGAATGCCAGTGTTTCACTGCTGGGAAAGGGAGAAAGAAATATTCTGACGTGGCAAACCCACACACCCCACAGAAGAAAAGTGAGCGTCTAGGAGGGCAACGCATTAAGTCAGCCTGAACTGCGATCAACCCACTGCAACCGATCCTGTGTTCAGGACACAGATCCCACTACTGCCTGCACGTGTGTGTTGGCACTGCGGAGCAGCTCTCTTTGCAGGGGAGAGGCAGAAGGTCGTGTATGGAGCGGAGCGAACCATGTCCCTTGGGTAGGAAGAGAGGATGCAGCTCTCCAAGCAAGGCAGGAGTGATCCGCTGCCCCCAGCAGAAATCTGGCTTTCTAAAGCATGTGACACTCCAGAGAGGGTAGATGTGAGAATTCTAGTTAATGGAGCAACCAGCCACTGGAGGCTGCTGTCCCTCAGGGCCTCGCTGGGGAGAACAGACCGTGCAAAGCCATGCAAAGCCACCCCCCTCCAAGCCCTATGGCAGTGGTTCTCAAAGTGTGGTCCCTGACCATATTCCAGGTGGGCCGTGAGCTCAGGCCCACCCAGCAGGAAGCCTATGCTGATACTCCATCCCTGTGCCCCCCTGTGACGTAGTGGGGGTACCTGGCTGGTTTCTATGCTGCTGGCTCTGGGGTAACCCCCACTGGCTGCCGTGGGTACCACGACCCAGCAA